GCCCCTGCAATCGAAGAACACTGTAAGCAAAACCTTCACATTCGATCTAATTTGGCGCCCTTTTTTCGGTCTTGGCTCGTGCGGTAGCTTCCATTGGTCGAAATTGAACTTTGGTTTCCACATCATAATCATAAACCTATTATTGATCACTAGTTATGACCCTCTAAAGTAAATTTGGGTCATCGCAGACAGAGTCCAACAGCTCCTTAGCAATGGTAATGCGATGCTGTTAATTAAATTAAGCAATTTTGCTACGAATTTCACGGCAACCAGTCTCATGTTCAAATCATTGATAAAAATCGAATGGCAAAATCCAAACGATATGTTTAGGTGCTCTCTAACGGTGATATTCGACGATTGACCAATACTATTTTCTTCACTTCATCAATGTTTTCGTCTGTTGTTGACGTACTCAGGCATCCGGCACGCTCTTCGTCGTTTACATCTTCTCTGCCCTCTGACAACATTTTGTACTACCGATAAACGTTGATTCGGTCCAAGGTAGTTTCACCATATGTCACAGTGAACATTAGGAATGCGCTTAATTTTGTTTTTCACACAAAATTGGATACAGATTCTTTGAACTATTTTTTGGAATAGGAAAATCGAAACGAGCCAAAACGCGTGCAAGCAAAGCAACTGTCAAAAATTAACTGAACATTCAACATGGCCGAACTTGTTGGTATAGGTGAGACATGAGTACCGACATAACGCCACAAAAAATCGAAAATTGAATATACGTAACCCACCAAAATTCACAATTCGGGATAATTTCTGAACAGACCTCGTATTTAAAACAGCGTTTTTCGAAACAGTGTCGTTTTGGATTTGCCTTATTACAAGTTTTGCATATTTAAGTGTCCCATCCAGAATATAGTATCCCGTATTGTTTATTACGACTAGGTGCTTGTCCCTGTTGTGTAAAGTGACTAGCTAGCGTTTGGGCGAAGTAAAACTAAATAATCTAAGGGTAATATCTATAGAGGGAAAACTATAAATGCTCCAAACCATAATTCCACGTAGTGATAGAAGTTAAAACATTAAAAAAGAAACCCGTTTGTTACAGAGGGTCGAACAGGTGAAACAAATCGTTTTAGTATTTTTTTCTATATATTCTTTAAAAATAATATAAAAGCCGAAATAATTACTATTTTGTAAATGCATTTTAGTCCAAATAAATGTTCTTTTGCAGCAGTATAGGAGTACGTCGTTTTATTTGAGTTTGTTGCTATTACCAAGAATTTTGGCTCTGATTTGGATGGTAAATTTGTGTTGTATTTATAAGTCATGTTATTGTAATCAAGTTCCATTGTAACAGGTCAATTGAAAAGTCCCCGGCCTAAAATAGTAAAACACATTTTTTTTGCAAAATTCGTTTTTTTTATTCAACATAATTCCCTTCAAGGGTGATACACTGATTATAGCGATCCTCCAACTTTTCGATACCATTTTTGTAGTACGATTTGTCCTTTGCTTCAAAATAGGCCTCAGTTT